AGGTGAAGTGACCACTACTGAAGCATGTCATTATAACACCAAGTGGCCTTATGACTGGTCACTCATTTCTCTTGAACTGAGCCTAGCTCACTTAAAGCTTATCTATTGACAGTTATACATATCGACAGCTATTCATATTTGTCCATCGAATGCGACTGTGACTACACTTTTGAACAGAGATATTATCTTTCGTGTAGATTTTTATCTAGCATTTCCATATTTGACACTAATAATCATGATTGTGGAAACTCATTCTCTCGATCTGAATTCTGGCCAAACAAACGATGTTTACGATTTGGAAAAGTACCACAACAGTGACGAAGTCTATGTTAAGTTGGGTAATCAAGGAGGTATCGGTTGCATTCGAAGTTTATGAATATGTTGGTCGGATTGTAAAGCGTGGTAATTTTGAATATATTATAACCTAGGCTTCTTGGACTAAAACTTAGGACGAGATTTTTGAGGTTGAGAACTTGACTGTGGAGGAATTAGTTTATGACCCAGATCAATCTGTCACTACAGCAGGGCTGCCGCCAAGCGAAGAATCTAAGCAAGGCCTAGTGGCATATGTCAAGAGTTTGGTACAGGATTCAGTCCTTGTTTGATAATGGCAGATATGGCATGACTCTTACTGAATGGAACCACACACCTATTTATCGATGACATAATACCAAGTACCCAATACATCGTTCGCATTTCACCGCTCATCGTCAGTGATCTCCAATGACAGTCTTGAAAGATTATGTCATGCACATTCTGGCTCTTCATTGGGTGATGGTGACGTAATGCCATTTACCGTACTTTTAGCAATTTGAAGTAGGAATATGGAACTGTATCTCTAGCCACGGCATTAAATATAATAGAGGACTTTAACTTTATGTCATGTGGCTCCCGCATAGCATTAATTACCACAAACCTTGAGGAAGCTACACCCTTTAGTGTACCTTGTACAGTCCATAGGTAGCAGGGACACGAGTCAAGCCTATGCTACTTCAATCGAATATGCCAGTTCGAGCGGATTTACTTTGAGCTAATGCTAGTTTGAGTGGAAAGAGATCCACTTATGCAAACAAAAGCCTTGTCCGAGTTTTATGTATGAATTACTTAAAAATTTCCTATTTTGAGCTAACAATTTGCATTCAACCAAGGCTCAAGCTTTGCCTGGGAGCAAGGGGAAAGCCCTGGTGGGTTCCGGGGGAGAAGCCTGCCTATGTATAGAAGTCGTATTTAATTGATTTTAGGTTAACAATTTAAAATCAAACATAACTACCTTCATAAAAATAATAATTTATTTTATCTTAGTCATTCGTAATTGTTATTCTTTCCACTCGCTGAAATAGTGGGGAAGTCATATTTAATTGGTTTTAAGTTAACAATTTAAAATTAAACATAATTACGTTCATAAAAATAATGATTTATTTTATCTTAGTCATTCATAATTGTTATTCTTTCCAAAAAATTGATATGATGTCATTATTACTGTACTGTTGATAGTCTAGTCACAAATGGTTTGTGCACCTTCAGCGACACCTAGATTATGTAAATATAATTTAAATTTCTATGGTGAATATCAATTACAGTTACTCCCATTTACAAATTTAAATTGTAAATTTAGGGCCTATAAATACAATCACAACGTAATTCAATTACAAAGTAATTCAGTAATTTTAAAATATAGGCCTAAGTTCTTGTTAGCAGCCCTCTGGTAGTCAGATCTGCTAAGACTGTAATCCAAACATGAAATAATTATCAAAAGTACCAAAAACATTTCAGAACTTTAGGGCAAATAGAAAAATTTATTATTATCACTTTGCCCACATCAAAAATTTTGGAAATATTGATGCAGGAAGTTTTTTTTAAAAATATATATTTATTTATTTTGTTTTGTCGCATCATTTATTTTACCTGTAACTGCATAAAAACAACTTTGCAAAGAACAAATGCTCACAAAATATAAAGGAATTGGTTTTGAATTCGGCAGACTTCAAACTCTTCAAATTGATTAGATCAGACATTGGGATCACCGTAAAGTTGAAAATGCAAAGCCCATTCTTTAAACTTATTGTTTACCGTCGCTAAAAATACTAACTGCGGCTAAAAATGGACAACACCGCAGTCCGTCCCTAAAGAGACCCGCCTAGTGGGCTGATCGGATCATTAATTCACAGCATGAAGACTAACATGTTCCAGAGAGACTCTCACTGCAGAAAATAACTTGTTACATCATGCATTACAAGTGGGTGGTCTTCCTTGTGATGGGTGTGTTTGGTTGGATTGGTTGTTGTTGGGCAAAAACTAACCTACGACATCAAGAAAGAAGGTTTAGGCAAAGGCTGGCTTAGATTGAGGTAAAGACTAAAGCCTAGGTGCCTATGCCTACTAACTATAATTTGTTCCCTTCCCCTTTGATGCTCGAGTAATGTCTGATTTTTTCACCGGGATATAGGCCTAGATCTAGTTTTGGATAGGCCATTGAATCACAGGGAATCCCCGGGTATAATTCCAGCCCCTACCCCTCCAATAAAGTTGCCCTTGTTATAGTTCGCACTAAATGCATTCGCTCGAACTGGCACCCTCTCGAACTGGCATTGGATCTAATTGACTGGCATTCAATAGCAGTACATGTTTCTTCGTGTAGCTCTAGCCTTCGAGTGCCTTAATCTTGCCAGGCACCCCAGATCGACTGTGCAGCACATCTGGCTGTGGGTTATGCAAATTAGCTGTTAAACTTGCACAACTTTGCTTCTGTAGGGACTACAGATTTGATTTTAGTCTTACAGCTAAATAATACAGCTATAATTTACAAATGCATTGGAATAATATAATTCATTAAATAATTTTAAAATAAATTATACATTAACGCAAGTACAGTATTTTGAATTAGCAGCGAAACTTGAATTGTTATATATAACCGCCATGCCTTCAATTAAATGTATTTTATATTGTAATTCCCCATACATGATGGTTGGTCTGTGCTGGCTTTTGCTCAATTATTCTCCTCAAGAGAAGAGTCTACTGAGCTTGGCAGTGTAGAACCAAGTCACACAGATGAGCTGTATAATGATAGGCCTATATATCAGACTCTGTGTGGAGAGTTATGATATTGTTAGCACTGTTCTTTGCAAAGTCTCTCTGGTAGCCATCAGACCAATTGCAGATTCGTTTTATGATTTCCTTTTTCATGTTGCTTCAGAAGGTGAATATAATAACAAGTATCCAAAAGGAACCAAAGTATTCAGTGGTTAGTATTATGAGTAAGACTAAAGCTCTTTTAGGCTTCTCAGCTGGGAGAGAGGCAGAGGCCTATATTCATACAGGAAGGTATAAAAATAGGATGATCTCCCTTGAAAATGACTAAAAAATCATAAAATTATTTTTGTAATTAAATTACTCATTTTGCAGTAACATACAAATTATTAACTTGAGAATATGACCCTTATCAAAAAGTCCTATAGGAAAAATTATTGAATAAATAAACAAAAAATATTTCCTATAAAAAAACGCTGCAACATCTTCAACTTATGACTGGTTTGTAGTCCCATATTCCAAAATTAATAAATTAATGTATACTTGAGAATGACCTACTGTATATCATCTTCAATGCATTTCTTTTATGATATGACACATAAACACAAAAATAATAGTCTACAGGTAGAATTGGTTTATGATTGGTTTAACAATAGCCACGAAGTTATTTATACATTGCGGTCACAGTATGAAAATAATTTTAAAAAAGAAATGTAGAAAGTGTGGTATATGATTTGATGCAGGCCTAGCTACCATAGAGACTTTCTTTAGCTTGTGTTCTTACCATTATTGTTGTTATTATTTTTAATGATGATATTATTTTTTAATATTTTATATTATTTATTTGTATTCAATATTAAAAATATATTTTATTATTTTTATTATTCTGGTTGGACGAGTTCTAGATAATCCATGATAGCCAATTTTTATGCTTCAGCTTTAGACTGGCTAGGGGGCCCCTTCCCACCTAGCTAGACCTACTGCTCTGAGTTTCTTCGTGGCTATTTTTTTTGGATTGTCAATAATGGATGCATATGACAAAGAGCATGTACACTATCCTTCTTCAGCGTAAAGCACCGTACCTTTCGAAACAATGCGACTTAGCCTAGGCTTGCCCATACTACTTGGCTAGAGACCTAGCCTAGGTTGTGTCGTCAGTTTCTGTGGTTATTTTTTATTGGATTGTCAATGCATACATACGTATGATGATAGAGCCAAATAAACTGTTGTTTGCGATAATTTTTTTCAATTCTCCCTGAGGATTAAATCCACTTTAATCCACTTTAGGCCTTCGAAAGCAAATGTTTTTCGACTTGAATCTCATTATTTAAAATGTTCGTAACCATGCATGATTGCGTTTCAGCTTGAAGCGTTTATGCTTAATTGCATAATAAAAATTTTACCATTTCTACTTCATACCCTCTTCGCAGACGCTGTTTGGTTTCTGAGACGTCTTTTTGGTAACTGCGCATGCTCGACATGGCTCGACAAAGTCACTTACTCATTGCACATGCTCACTGGCTCTCTAGCATTTCCAAGCGCATGCTCACTCTGTTTTTATACATATTTCACGGACGTTCTTAGGTAACTGTGTGTGCGCATTCATTAGTTTGGAATTCCCATTCCTTCGTAGTAAAAGCTACCGCAACCTACAGTTTCTTAATGACTGTTTTCTCTTGATCGTATCAGCCTAAAGGTGTGGCGCGAAAAATGTGGACCCTGGCTTATACTGGATAAATGATAAACACCTGTATCACTAAACATACATGTGCTAATGGTTGTATATAAGCTGATGTGGCTTATTGATTTTATTTTTCAGTATGTTTTGTTTTCTTCCTATTTCATTTTTCTTACATATTCTCTGAGTAATGTTCAAGCTTGCAAATCTTTTGAGTTTTAAATTATTATATTGTGAGTGGGACTCCAGATGTCTCCAGATCTTACCAATGCTAACTTAAGATTGCAATTGAATGTTTTTTATATTTTTTCAAGGTATCATCTGCAAATCAAGAGACACCTTCCAAAATCCAAAAAGTGTTGCAAGATGCAAGTATAGCCAAGGAACATGTTGAAGTGTTGGCACAACAGCATTTGCAAGTTAAGGAAGATGTTGTGAGCCATTTAGAAAAATGTTTGCCATTGAGGGATACTCTGACAAGTATGCTGAAGAAAGTGAAAGATCTAGAGAAATGTATGCAATATATGAAGTGGTTGGCTCTTGTTAATAATTTAAGGTTAGTTAATATATGATATAGGTGGATTCCTTCCCCCAAATTCTAGAAATTAAGAAAAAATGAAAACTATATATATTCAAGGATATTAGGATTGAGAGTACCATTTCCAGCCATTCAGCCATAGCCATAAAATTTCATCCTTCAGCCCCAATCATGGTGGTGCTGAAGTGGTCTACCTACTCACCTCTAAAGGTCCCTCCCTGTACCTCTTCTGATTCGACCCACCACTGCGTGATGGAGCCATATGCATTATTAATTTGATTCAATAGTAGTCAATTATTTTGATTATAAACTTTATAATTCTTTTTTATCTTAGTTCTGAGATTCAAGGAGCATTGTTGGTGAATACAACTCCATTCCAGTTTCACAGTGCCAAAGTTCAACAGTCAATAACTGCAGGTGCCATGCCAAGTGCTGTCAATCATTTTGTGACTTTGGTGGAAATTAGCAAAATATTGCAAAACTCAAAGTGCTACAATCTAACACAATTTATTCATTCTACAATATTTTTTTGGTTCAATATATTGAAAGAAAAGCTTTCAAGGTAAGTGTTTTAATGCATACCATCACCCATCAATATATTCTTACACCTGTGCAATCCATCCATGCACTTGTTGATCCATCCATTATATATCCATTGATATGCATTACTGTATCCATCCATGCACTTGTTGATCCATCCATTATATATCCATTGATATGCATTACTATATTTATCCATGCACTTGTTGATCCATCCATTATATATCCATTGATATGCATTACTGTATCCATCCATGCACTTGTTGATCCATTCATTATATATTCATTGATATGCATTACTGTATCCATCCATGCACTTGTTGATCCATCCATTATATATCCATTGATATGCAATTCTGTATCCATCCATGCACTTGTTGATCCATCCATTATATATCCATTGATATGCATTACTGTATCCATCCATGCACTTGTTGATCCATCCATTATATATCCATTGATATGCATTACTATATCCATACAGCCCTTGTTGTGGACAGATGATGAGTAGCTGGCTCTGGTATACTGGGTAGCTCAATGTATAAATATATTATATCTGTTTCTTAGCAGTTTCTTTCTTTCTTTCTGGCAACATTTTGTTATATATAACCCCATACTGCCGCCACTCCCACCACCCCACAAAAAAGAAGAAGAAGAAAAAAAAAAAGAACTAAACAAAATACAAATTGGCCTGATTTTGGGATTAAACTTTTTTTTTCTCTTTTGTGGTATAACAACCACCACTTTTATTCATCAATACATCAAGTTATTTGAATTACAGACATTCTGCATTACAGCCTTTTTCACCTTTTTTCTTGATTTTCTTAATTTTTAAATTTCTCTTGATACTTATATATACAATAAAATATATATTTTGCTTTGTAGTACTGTTACGGTTCATTCCACAAATTTTTTAGCTTGCATACATTGAATTTTTACTCCCCTATATCAATGATTGCCTGCGTGCAATAGATAACTGGACAGGGTATGAAGGGATCATGATGGTATGATGGTAGTGGACTGCCGAAACATGTCTTATTGGGGCCGTTAAGGCCATAACTTATTTGATTAAATACAGGCTTTGCCTATGATGAAGATACGATCTGTTGTGTTGTTTTTGAAAACAATAAAATATGCAAATTAAGTCGATCAATGTATGTTATATGAAAATTTAAAAAATAAATTTAAGCATAATTCTATGATATTAACATGATTTCAATGTTTAGGCATTAACCAATTGTAACCATTATTAATATAGATTTTATTTGACCAGTATATCCCTTAATTTTTTTTCCTCCTTTTTTCATTTTTATATAAAAATATATTACTTTTCATTATTGTACGCTAATGCGATATAAGTTTACTCATAACACGTTGAGTTATGAATTTTTTTTTTTTTTTTTTTTTTTTTTTTTTAAATAAAATTTTAAAAAACATGCTTCACAACATCATTCTCATCTCATAGTTTGTATGGACTATCAGTAATTTTTTTATTGCTTATTATTTTATACCTTGAAAGTAACTAATAATGGAGTAACAATAGTAGTACTAGGTCCACTTCATAAAACAAAAAATAAATAAATAATATAAAATAAAAATAAAAATAAATATAAATAAAAAATAAATAAATAAAATAAAATTTATACTCAACGAATCCCCTTTTCCATCAGAAGGCAATATTTCATCATTGCATCCTTCTCTTACATCTAAATTATATTTTTATTTTGTCAGTGAATTTGAAGATGTTTTGACGGCTATGGGGTTGCCTATTGTTTCCAAGGTAACATCACTTCCACCGAGTACAGCAGCCAAAGAAGATCTGCAAAGCAAATTGGACACATTATGTACACAGCTTTTAAAGTTGCAATTACCGTATCCTTTATTTGTACAATAATAAAGCATGATATTAAGTTTTTAGCCTTTTATCATTTGGTATTGTCCAACATAGCAAATATGGTACATTTGTGTATTTTCCTTAATATGTTACAGTGAAGAACTTGAGATTGAGTTGAATAATTCTGAGTCTCCAGCTGGACACAAAACAATTATTCTTCCCATCCAATTGCTTCTCAAACCTCTCAAGAAGAGATTCCGATTTCATTTTTATGGAAAGAAACAAACAAATAATCCAGAAAAGGTTAGTTGCCATTACAAAATAACTTGATTATAAAAAATATTGTTAATAATGATTGTAATGATGAATGATGTTTACAGTGATGATAACAGATATAGTAAAGGTGAAAGTCCATTCATGTTTTTATTTCTCCTCCACTCCTTGGTAGTATTCCTAGTTGTGTAGCACTACTAATATTATTATTGTACCAGGTAACAAGATATAATCCTGGGTGTATTAAATCCATATACTGTACCCTCAAATTGAAGCGGTTGTGGTGGGGCTCTCAACCTGGAAGTCGAGGTATTGAATGTTTACTGGAAAGTTAATCCAGAACCTTCCCCTGCTTTATGACATCACCTATATTTCTTTTTAGCCTGAATTCTATTTTACACAAGTACTGAGCTGGATACGTGATCATGGTGATTTTCTTGATACTCAGATTCAGCCAATATTAAATAGGGAACAAATTGCTCACATATCTGCTAAGGTGCGTATTTGTAAACCATATTGATTGTTATATTTATTTGTTTACCTTCATAATTATAAAACATTATGTTTTGATAAAAACTTCTAATGCTTGCATTTGATGGCTGAGTTGTGTTCACCTCTGTTGTGCTGTACAAGTTGTCTATCTCCTCAATAATTTAACTGAGTGTGAATTTCAACATGCTTGCTCTTTAGATTGAGTTCTGTCGTGGACTAATTCAAGCAGTTGTAGCCAAAGCGGAACATGATATTCCTGAACTCATATATGATGACCACCTGTTATCTCATTTTATTGATGAACTTCTGTCATTTGAAGCTGAACTTCGTTTTAATCATGGATATCCAGCTTGGCAGCCAAACTGTATTCATGTTCTTACTCAAAATGACTGCTTTCAACGATGGCTTGCAATTGAAAGGAATTGTAAGTATTTATTAAGTATTAGGGCAATTTCACAGTAACTGAATTACAATCACAACAGTTTTGGGCTTATTATTAGAAACCCAGAACACTAGGTTTGTCTTGGATAATAACCTTTATAGGTATAAGTACATACACCTACCAATATCAATATTAAATACTTTTTCTTTTCGTCAAGAGTCACTGTGCCTGAGAATAGCATGCTAGATGGTACATTTCAAGTTCTGTTTTATTATTAATAGACAGTGGCACTTAAAAGAACATTAACAACATTAGAAATATGTCTTAGATGTTTGCATGGTGAGTTGACAATAACAATAATAATATGCGTACAATTGCATATCAAGCATGTGGCATCCAGTTAACATTGTAGCATTTTGGTGTTTCTTATGTACCACTTTATTTACTCAATTCATTCTCAAAGTTTCTTAAAATTTGGTCATGACTTGCCTACCTTTTTATATTTGCAGTTGCTCTTGAGAAGATAGACAACTTGCTGAGCGACAATGGGGCATGGAGTTGTCAATACAGAGACATAAGTGATGTTGATGATTTAAAAGTGCCACAGTGTGCTGAGAGCTTTGTAACACTCTTATCAGTTATAACAGGTGAATTGAAATCATTTTAGGGGGTCATCCATTATTTTCATCATTTCCACAAGAGTACAAACCATACT